GAGTGTGCGAATGAGCAAAAAATGCATGTTTTACACTTCCCAAAAATGTAAAACCTTTTGTTTGAAGTACTTTAACCTAACTGCCAACAGCTGTACGCCAAAAAAAGCAACAAAAAATATAGGAGACATATCCACCCAGATATACAACATAAAATTGTTGTAGGACTTGCAAAAAAAGTGGATTTTTTCCAAAAAAAGGAGGCAAAATATACGAAAAAAGGAACTGAAAAGAGGAGAGAAATACACAGACGCCAAAAAAATAAGGTAGGGCAGGGCAATGTAGTGTAATGAAATGTGGCCCTCAAAGGGACGATGCCGTCAACAACAACAATGAATGAATCAACGACATGGAATACAGAACAGACTGGGTTTGTGTTACAAATTGCGCATGTCGTGCCGTTGACTTTTCAGTTCTACCCTCCATACCAGTCAGTACTTCAGTCATCATCAACAACAACATCATCATCACCACCATCGTCGTTGTCGTCGTCGCACAGCCCAGCACATATTTACATACATAACAACTGTCTAGGATTTTTGCAACCGAACAAAAAAATGGAAGAACACAAACGCATTCACATCCATACACAGAGGCCGGCACACTCACTCATTCACTCCTCTGTGTGAAGTGGTTAAACCCGTCTAGTACTTTACTTTAATCAGGCAATGCTCACAACAACGACAACAACAGCAACAAAACTGTATTTAAATTACATATTACTTTTTAATATTTAAATGCTGCAAGAACAGAAATGAAAATACCTAAAATTAGAATTGTAAGGTGATAGCAACTAAAAAAAGAGAAAAAAACTAAATACTCATATCACGAACAAGTTGTTTTCCCCCTCTGTTGGTGTTGTATAATTTCGGTTATAAAAGTGATGCCCATTTTATTTGAATCTCTTGTATTTTTGGCACATGTTTGTCTATGCTAGTAGCCTGGGTAACATGGGTGTTGTTCTTCTACTCCTTATCATTATTTAGTAGTCCTTTGTCGTCTGTCGAGTATGTCTAACATGGTTGGGTCTGGGGGATTTTTTCTTTTTTGTGTAAAACTGTCTGGTTCATCCTGAGATGATTGTGCGTAGTCATCGTTTGCTCTTTGATATTGCTGTAACTGTAATGAGGTCGTGGACCTCTATTGCCATTTTAGGGTATGCAAACAAAACAAAGACCTGGATGATTTGTCAATGCCTCCTCCAGAGTGATTTTTTTAATATAAAATCAAATAAAACGGCCATGCTTATTTATAGAGTAGAAAGGGGATTTTTTGTAAAATATTTGTGGGATACATTTTGGTGTTAGGATAATGATTTATTTTCGAATTATACCAGTCACCCATACCTGTTATTGTATCGATCGGTGTATAGAATTATAATATTGTCGCCTGGAAATATCTTAGAGGTTGTGGTCGCCATAAAATCCGGAATCGATATAGGCTTGTATCCGTCTACTAAATTTAAGCTAAAATATGATTTATGATTATTTTAATATGTTTTCCAGAAAAAAATGAATGGCATGTTAATATCGTCTGTTTGGCCGGAATATCTTGAAACATTTTTCAAAAAAGAAATTGTCATAAAACCGGAGATGTATTTGATAGGACCTTCAATTGGGTAAAATTACTTATCTGCTAGCTATTACACCTTCCAGTATGTCATTCCAATTACAAACACCTTGGCTATGGTTACCCCACAAAATATATCAACCTGTTGGAGAGATTTTCCATTTGATGCAGAAATTTGCACAACTTGTCATAATTGATATTTAAATAGGCACCATCGGTCTACCTTTGAGTTTCCGTGTTGATTTCTATTCAGCCACAATATAAAAGTAAGTCGGCGATAATTTAAAATTTCAGGTCTTTATTTTTTTTTTTTTTTTTTTTTGAATATTCATATTTCAGGACTAGTTTCTGTAATTCCTTATTTTAGGATCTTATTGGGTTGAAGAACGTTCAGTGTATATTTAGGTTTTGCAATAGCCCTATATATATTGAATGTCCTTGACATATCTTCAGATTTTCATTAAACTAAATCTCCCAGATCTCGAAAAATCACCCTAATTAAAAATATTATTGGCATAATGGAAGAAAATGTCGCATAGTAATAGTAATATCTGTTTCGGACTTGTGTCAGGTACAAAGATCTCTAATATCGGCCCATAAATTGAAAAGTAAGAACAAGGTACTGAAGATGCTAATGTGCGAGGCTATATATATGATCAGCATAAAAGTCTATGTCGATTTGGCGATGTCCGTCCATCCGTCTTTCCGTCTGTGGAAATCACTCTAGCTTCCGAACGAAATGAAGTAGGTTGATACAATTTTACTCAAACGTGTATTATGTCTGCAGGACTTTCGGTATTGAAAATGGATCATGTAGGTCCACGTTTTGGGTATAGCCCCCATATAATGGTACCTCCCTTTCTTCGGTATTTTAATAATTTTAGCGAATATATTCATCGAAATTGTTTCAAATTTGGTATTTGAAGTTTGTAATGGGTGCTACAGCCTATGACAGAAAATTGTCTGTGCTGGTCTACGTTTTGGTATAGCCCCCATATTTTGGTATTTCCCTAAATTCGGTATTTGGATGATTTTAGCCACATTATTCACCGAATTTATTTTCAACTCTCGCATCTGAAAATTGTAATGGCTTCTGACAAAAGTTGCCTATGCAGGTCAACGTTGTCGTATAGACCCTGATATAACGGCTAAATTCAGTATTTTTAAGATTCTAACTGAATTTTTAACTGATTTTATTTCTTTTTTTGTTTTTATTTATTTATTTTTTTTTTTTTTTGAAAATTGCTAAATTCGTTCCAAATGGTGAAGGGTATTCAAATTTCGGCCCGGCCGAAATAATAGCTTTTTTGTTGTTTTTGTTAATTTGGAAATTCAAACTCCCCATATATAACAACCATTAGAGACTTTTTACCAACCGATTTGACGAAATTAAGCTTTTATTTAAATTGCGCAATAGGTCGTCTGAAGGTGTAGCGATTTGCGTTCACCAACTATCCAGAGATCCTAGGGGTCACATTCGAATTCAAGACGGGGTTTAAATTAAATACATCTTCATATAGTCTGTGCAATTTTGATGGAATGTAGAAAGGTGTGGTTTTCTCATTGGTGGAGGGTATAAAAGGGTCAAACCGATTTGATTGTATTTTTTTCAATTTTTCCCACGCAAGAATAATCCAACCGAGAATCAAGGTTAAAACTAAACATAGAATAAGCCGAGAGAGAACTGAGCTCATCGAGACTATTCGATCACTATTTTAAGTACTACCCTGGACAAAGAGAAGGTCCTTCGCTTCGCTTATGAAAGTGTTCCCTATCCCATTCACTTTTCTCATCAAAGTCTAAAGGAATTTACGGTGTCCTGGTAGGAGAAATCCATTGTACCCGGGAACACATTATTTATTTGGCAGTGTGTAGCCCTCTTAGGTATGTTGGTATGAAACAAACGATGTAAGATATTACAACTCATACTACGATGGGGACATAAATGTGAGTATGGTGTATGAGTGCGGTGTTCTATTACTATAATTTCGTTTGTATATCTAATAAACTACGAAATTGTTGTTATTCTTTACGCTGCTGTCGAATTGTATTGTTGCTGTTGTTGCTGTCGTTGTTAATAATAATGCGGATAGTTTCATATGTACTTACTATTCGGTGTAGTTACTTACTTGCTATGCTCCTTAGATATGTACACATATACATATATGTATGTGTACGGTATCCTATGTACACCACCAAGTTGTAGGGAGTAGTAGAATGTGCATTCCTGTGATTCCTTCTAATGCAGTCTACTACTCGACTCTAAACCCATTTCGATTTGGCTGGAATCAGGAATACACAGACAGACACCATCCACAACCATCCACAACATTAACAGGCAGCCAGCAGCAGCCAAAACACCCATCAGCAATAAAACCGGCAACAACTATACAAAGATGCTGGCTGGCTGGATGGCTGTTGTCCTTTAAAGTTTTATGTCTGGGTATGTCTGCCGCCTGGCTGTCTGTCCTTTTTATGTGTCTGCTGCATCCTTTTTATGTACAATTTATGTATTATTCTGCGCACATTTATTTACAAAAGTTTCTCTGCGTCGGTACTACGACAGTACATACGTGAATGAATGGCTGGCTGCCTGGCTGGCTGGCTGGTTGACTGTCTGCATGGATGAATAGATGGATGGTTGGATGGACGATGAAGGCGTCTAATATGGAATGAGGTTGATGATGGGTACACCCAGACACACCGTCATCATCATCACCATCATCACTTGCCAAAACGACAAGAAGATACATTTTAAAGCCACGGTCATTGAACTTCCAAAATTTGTATTTAAAGAGTGTGGTAAGGTTGTGCAGAAAGAATAAGGGAATGCTACCGATGGAGGTTGAATCACTTGACAGCTTCAATTTAGTGCAAATTCCGCTTGGTTGGGGAATCTTTTTAATATTATTTTATTTTTTTTCAAATGTTTTATTAATAATTGTCAATTAACAACAAAGGCGATGTTATGGTGGTAGTGTGAAAAAATATCGGGGAATCCTATCGGATAAAATAATATTTTCAAATTCAAAATCAACCAGTTTTTTTATTTTAAAATAAGTTCAATTAAAAAAATCAAAGATATCTAGGAACAAATCGGTCCCTTAATTTAATTCTTATTGGAAGGAAGCTCGCCTTACGAAAAATGATTAATATCGTTCCATGCTCTAAAGACAATGCTTCATAAAAGTGCATTAAAATAAACAATCGAAAATGGGAACAACCATGTACTCAGAATTATACAGACACGATTGATCAGCTACCAATATTTGAATAAGGCCTTGAGCCACTCACCATAGTTCGAATCAAATTACAATACAAATTTGATATTCCTCAAAAATCCGGCTACCATGCAAGCTTCTGTTGAAATATAGGTATTAATTTAACACATGTTATAATTAAAACTAATCTGTAATAATGTCTTCAATTTCAGGAAAAGAATTCCTTTTACAATGTGTCCTGCATACTTACCCTGCCGCCATATCAAAGGAAAGGTTACGGAAGATTACTCATCGATTTCAGTAAGTAAAAAAAAGTAAGATTTTTTTTGACATTTTTAGTCTTAAATTTTGAATTTTCTGAATCGGTGATCAATTTTAGTATCCGTTTGAAGAATGTGGCAAAAGAGGAAGCTACGATGTGTGCTGGCATATGGGATTCTTTTTTTGGAATCTCGACGTATTCGATAATACTTGCCAGGCAAATGTTGGCAAAAATTGAAAGACTAAAAAATCATCCTCTTAAATTTCTTATCGGCTATTACAGTAACGCCTGCTTCCTTCAGTACAAAACTATTCCACTCCGCTTGTCTACAAATAATACATTCAGCTATTCTATAAAGGCTTGCATCAGTTTGTCTATAAATGCCAATTTCAGCCCGTCTTTAAGGATTGTCTTCAGCTCCCTTGTTGATATTTCCTTTTGCCAAGACTTTCTTCTTTTCGTCTATAACATCTTACTTTTCATGAGATTTCGTAGGACTTATCTATAATAGCTCTAACCGGTCCGTCCATTAAAACTATTTCAGCTCGTCGATGCAGAGACAACATTCAACCTGTCTAGAGACGACCTTTAGCCTTTCGATGTAGAAATAACATTCAGCCTGTCTAGAGACGACCTTCAGACTGTCGATGTAGAGACAACCCTCAGACCGTCGATGTAGAACGACTTTAGGCTCGAGTTCTTCTATTTATTTAGACGACCTTGAGCCCTCATATCTATCAAGACGACCTTGCGCTAGTCTAACAAGACGACCTTGAGCCCTTATATTTATCAGACGACCTTGAGCCCTTATATTTATCAAGACGACCTTGAGAGCTCGTCTAACAAGACGACCTTGAGAGCTCGTCTAACAAGACGACCTTGAGAGCTCGCCTAACAAGACGTCCTTGAGAGCTCGTCTAACAAGACGACCTTGAGAGCTCGTCTAACAAGACGACCTTGAGAGCTCGTCTAACAAGACGACCTTGAGAGCTTGTCTAACAAGACGACCTTGAGAGCTCGTCTAACAAGACGACCTTGAGAGCTCGTCTAACAAGACGACCTTGAGAGCTCGTCTAACAAGACGACCTTGAGCTCGTCTAACAAGACGACCTTGAGAGCTCGTCTATCAAGACGACCTTGAGAGCTCGTCTATCAAGACGACCTTGAGAGCACGTCTATCAAGACGACCTTGAGAGCTCGTCTATCAAGACGACCTTGAACTCTTCTATAGAGACGACCTTAAGCTCGTCTATGAAGACGACCTTGAGAGCTCGTCTATCAAGACGACCTTGAGAGCTCGTCTATCAAGACGACCTAGAGAGCTCGTCAATCAAGAGGACCCTGAGAGCTCGTCTATCAAGACGATCTTGAGAGCTCGTCTATAGAGACACGACCTTGAGCTCGTCTATAGAGATACGACCTTGAGCTCATCTATAGAGATACGACCTTGAGCTCCTCTATAGAGACACGACCTTGAACTCGCCTATAAAGACACGACCTTGAGCTAATCTATAGAGACACGACCTTGAGCTCGTCTACAGAGGCACGACTTTGAGCTCGTCTATAGAGACGTATAACCCTCAATTAATCAATACAGACGTCTGACCTTCAGTTTGTCTATAATGACGACTTTCACCTCGTCGTTTGTGTTAGTTTTGGGCTTTTAAGCTCACAATTTCGTCATAATCAAGCCCGGACACTGTCAGAAACCTGCTGTCTTGGCGATTTCCTGATGGCGCTTCTTAAGCTCGTGTGCCTACACTTCTTAGGATTTTCATAGAAAAAAGAGATTCCAAAAAAAAACGCTTTCGTGAAAATTTATTGCAAACAATTAAAAATGTCTTGCAATCAGTCAGTCAGTTAGTCTTTCATTCATTCCTTTGTCTGGTCGTTTGGCCGGGCCATTCATTCTTTTCAACGCCATCAGATTTTTTTCCTACTGAAAAAGCGTCGAAGATATTGCTGCTCGTATGCATGATTGTGTTTGTATGTATGTGTGTGAGTGTGTGTGTTTGTTTGCTTGTAGACATGTCTGTGGCATAAAGTCTACCTTTCCGTGTTAATGCCTGCAGACAAAGTCAGACAGTTTAAGAGCTATTTTCAGCCATTAGAAACGGAGCGGGAGATTGGGGCAGGCCAGGAAACCAAGAAAAAAGCAAAAAACAACAATAAAAATAGTAGGAAAAAATCAAACAATGGAAATTATGGAAGAAAGCAATGCTAACTACCCTGGCTAAAATATACATACAAAAGTATATTTGGCCAATATGAGAAGCGGTCAAGCAGAGCGAAGCGGCGACTAGCCATGCAGACTTAGCAATGGTCCTCGCCAGACCACACACAGACGCACACACACACACACCTCCAACACCCCAACATTCTAAAACAAAGAGACGACGACCGCAGCAGTCATAGGGAGAAACTTTTTAAGTGACATTGACCTTAGACGACATTGCCTGTTTATTTGCTGATGTTGTTGTTGTTGTTTTTGTTGCAGCAACGATTGCATGTACGGGGAATATCACACGAAGCAAAATAAAGAACAGCAACAGCAGCAGCAGCAGTCAGTCGGTTGTTCGGTCGGTACATGCATATTTTCCTCGCCCATTGTGTCTGTGTGGCCGCGGGTGTGTGTTTCTGAGCATTCACCACATATGGTGGGTTGTGGCGGGCTGTCCGGCTAGCTAGGAAATTTCATAAATATGCTTTGAACATAACAAAGATTTTTCGATTTTGCCCAACTTCGTCATAAGTGGCAGCGAGCGAATAGTAGCCATCGGCCAAAAAACGGCGACGTTTTGTGGCCATTCATGAAATTCTGGGTTTGGGTTTGGTTGCACATCGCTTGTAGTGTTGTTCTTGTTGTCGTCGTTGTTGTGAGGGGTGGTGTTACAATAATTTGACAACAACAAAATTTGTATTGTTTATTTGCCGCTTGGTTGATATTCGTGGCAAAAATTTCGTAGTGCCCAAGCTCATTGTAGCACACTGCATTCGTGTTGCTAACCGCCGCGCGGATTCATCCACACACACACACCCGCACACATACATACGTAGTATTCATATGCATGTACGGAGAAGGAGTGCAGCGGTGTCATGCAAACATTCAAGAGGTAGATATTTAGGGGTTACTGCCAGACAACACAATAACACATGACTTGAGTTTCACCGAAAATTTTCAAGGAAGTCGGAATTCAAAATTTGGGAATTTGCTATCAGAAAAGTTCTTCACGAATATATGAATTAACTTACCTGTAACCATGTTTGAAGTCAAGCGGGGTTGAAGGAGGAATAATGAAGGGAGTTCCGCTGCGCCTGACAGACTTCAGCCCGAATTCTGTTCGAACAAAATTACCTTTAAGTTTTTTTTCTAACGTTTCTCCTCCTTTATACCCTCCACAATAAAATGGAGTGTATGTTAATTTTGTCAATTTTAATTTTAACTACTCGACTTCACAATGCATATACAGGGTGAGATAAAAAAAACTGCTATAAAGTCAAACGCCATAATTTTTACATTTATTTTAAATTTTATTGAATGAAAGCAAAAAAATATCGGAAATAGCATCAAATTTTAGAATAAGTTTAGATTTGTTCGAATTGGTCATGTTTGGCACGAATTATGGCCTTCAAACGGCCAATGAATCTGAACGTTGCTCTGCGGTATTTTTGTCCATTCCCGACGAAGCGCTTGCTTGAGTTGATCGACATTTTGGTATTTTTTAGTGCCAACCTTGCTTTCCAAAATACTGCAGACACAATAGTCCAACGGATTTGTATCCGGAGATTTTGGTCGGCATTGTGCGCTGGAAACGAAGCGAGGAACCTCATTCTGTAACCATTCTTGGGTGGCGCGTGCTGAGTCCTGTTGGAATGTCCAAGGTCTGCGGCCAAAATGTTTGCGTGCCTAAGGCCTTAATACACCCTCCAGAATATTTTCGCGATAATATTCGGCATTTATTCGGCACACCACCACACCATGGCCGGCACATGAGTTCTGGTGGCCAAACGAAGGTGCACATTTTTAGCTGACCTCTTTGGATGGACAACGAATTTTTTCTCATCGGAGACGGAGAAAACCAAATTCGGCAGTTCACTACTTTCGGCCAAGCGAAGCAAATCTTTAGCTCTTTTGAGTCTATTTTCTTTCTGTTGCGGTGTAAATTTTTGTACTTTTTGGAATTTTAATGGCTTTACCTCGAGCTCATTTTTCAATATTTGCCGAATGGAATATTGCGATTTGTTCAGCGCACAAGCCATTTTTCGGCCACTGCGACGCGACGTTCGATCAGGTCGCTTCTTTAATTTTCGAACCATTTCTGCTGATGTTGCTGTTTTCTTCCGTCCACTTCCTTGACGTCGGGCTACGCTACCAGTATCGGCAACGGTAACGAGCGATGGTACAAGACACAAAAGATTTATTTACATTTAAATGCTGTAGTCCTCTAACGATAGCCACCCAATTCTCACCAAAATGCTTTTGTACGCTTGTAAACAATATAATGAACTGTCACGGGAATAATTTTAACAGCTGTCGGACGAGTAGCTGATAACATTTTTCACAAAACATTAGTTTACTCCAAGGCCGAACCCCATCGAAATTGGAGGTAATCGGTCAAAATTTAGATATAGCTCCCATATATATCTTCGCTTGATTTGCCTTTTATTTTGACCCGAATGTGTAATTTTAGTCCAAATAGGACGGAATTTGGCAAATATAACAAAATTGAAACAAGTGTGTCCGATTTGGTGGAAATCGGTTCACATATAGCTATAGCTCCCATAAATATTCTTCACTCGATTTGAAATATGTCAAATACATCTCTGAAATTCTTTTGCCAAACAATTGTCGAGATAGATTCAGGTTTGGATCTGATATCTTTACTCGATTTCAAGTTTATTGTGCACCAAATGGTTGTCCCTAAAAAGTGTAATATGGATTTTGCTGAATAATACACATTCAGAAATCAGAAATGTAGCCCTACTATATATGCAAAATGGTGTAGGGTATCATATGGTCGGTCCTGCCCTGGGTATC